GGCAAGTGTTGGTGTGGTGCTCGTGCTGGTACCTTTGGTGCTTGGCCTACGGTGAAGGAATCCGTCCGTTACAGGTACTTCTGGGGACGCCCTTTCGTGCCTAATATTTCTCCGTATCCGCCGTCGATCCCGCGAAAACCCCGCGGCCACGCGCAAAAAAAACAAACTGCTTCAGACAGGCAACGTCGACGATCACTCGTCGCGTTGATTTATCACAGTTTGTCCATTGGGAGTGGAAATGAAATCGGAAATGAATTTCGTTCACTGCTTGCCTCTGATCGACGGAATAAACATACTGCCGCATTCGCCAATCCATGTAGGGACATCGCTTCACGAATGAGTCGGGTATCGCCGAAGCCTAGTGCGCACAAACCCCCACCACTCTGCGACATAATCTGAACGTCCTTTCTCCGCAAACGGTCGACTAGCACGCTGTAGAAGAAGTACCAACAAGATATCGCCAGATTCACGAGCAAGCGGGGCGTCGGCGCTACATCTACCATCGCTACAGCAGTAAGGGCTGCTGCTGTACCCTACCTACCAGCAGCACAAACAAAAGCAGTACCATCACCTCGTGCAATCGACTACAGTATGTACATGTACATTTACCATGCATACATCCCTTTTATCATGCATACATCCCTTCTCGCTGCAAAATATGGAACTAGAATATAGCAGGACCTTGTCCTCTCCGTCCAGACTAGCTCGGGCGTGTATGTACGTGTGAATGCCCCGAAATGCCAACCCTCCGCTGATCAACAACCAACGATACCAAAATACTCTTCTCTCTTTTGTAGTCTATGTGCGGTACGTTCCAACACCCACACAGTAGGGACTAAGAGCGTTGGCCGACCAGCCTTTGGCAATAAGTATTTTTTTTTATTCAAGCTGCTCGACTAAGTTTGTCAAAGTCGTCATCAATCAATTGCCTGCCGTGTCGCGTTGTCCCGTTACAAAACTGTTTGCGGCGCCCCATCCCGTCATTCCCATCCCTGCCAGCTTCTTCTCCCTCACCACTGCTGCCATTTATTGCCATCCCTTCAGTTTCAGGCCCAAGCTACATTGGATTTTCGACAGAGACCCCTTGCGATGAACCCAGGCAGGGGAGAAATCGCGTGGTGGGTGTAAAGCATGTGATGCCATTCGCTTGCTTTGTTTTATATTTTTTTGGTAGCCCCCTCTTTTCGGGGCTTCATTGACCCTGCCGAGAAGACCGCAGGCTCCAATTGACTGCAGCCGCTGCCACAGATATAGCAACAACGCTCGCGTTGCAGCAGTCGCGGGCCTATAGGGGAGTGAGTAGGACCTTACCGATTACGTGACTTGTCTCTTCAGCAGGCATGGACTCCGCGGCAACATGTGAGGCGGGGTTTTTCGCACAATCAAAATATGACCCAACGAATGTTGTTTCATTTTGGGTGCTACAGTATGTACTTGTATTTTGGGTTGACTGAAGTGGACTATGTCGTGGGCAGCCTACGTACAATAGAATGTGTATCTCTTCAGCGAACATGAAACACGCATAGGAATCGTCGGAGGCAAGTGAACATCCCCTCTTCTTCCCGTGCTGTTTGATTTGCTACGCTGAGCCGCGACACCTACTTCTCCAAGCTGGCGAAAATCAAGCTGGTCGATTGGCATCACACGTAGAAACAAGATTATCGTTGCCTCGTCCGCCGAGTCATATTTTTCGTGCCGGCCGCGACAGGGCAGTTCCAGCGTCGTCCACTGCATGCACCCGATTGGGATTGGGCGCGGCTCGTCCTGTCCTCCCTGAGCTCTAGTGCATCCGCGTGCTGGTAGCCGTGCAATCTTCGACCTCGCCAAAAAGGTGGGAGGCTTTGCTGCGTTGAATGATGCACGTCGGGTTGTGTGTCTGCTGGTAGAGACAATTTGCTGTTGGTATCGACCGAGCCAAAAATGATTCCAGAACGAACGACACAGCTCGAGTATTGCAATAAATAACGGGGAATGAAACGCAAAGCGAGGGAAGCGCCCGCCTGAGGCTTGCGTACATATCCCCCTTACTCTCACGTATTTCCCGTCGCTGCGCTGTGTGACTACACCTACCTCCCCCAAGCTGGCGAACACCAAGCTTGTCGGTGTCATCACATGTCACATGAAAAAGTGCCGTTTCGCGGTTTCCCCTCGGTTTTTTATTTTTATGCCCCGCATTTTTTGCCGTTTCGCCCCCGAGCAGTTCCACCGCTTCTTCACTACGGCAGCACATTGCATACATATATAAAAATAAGTCCAGTACCCAGCCGGTTTCCCTTCACTCACTGAAAAGACTCCACCACATCCCGTTCGACTGTGGGTATATCTCGAATGGGTAGTCTTTCTGTGTGTGTTTTTATTATTCCTTAATACATCGCCACCCCGACTGGACGCAGCCCACCCTGTCCTCCCTAAGCTCTGCTTGATCTCCGTACTGGTATCAAGTGCCATCTAGTACCCCTACCTCGCCGTGAAGGTGATCGGCTGTGTTGGATAATCTGTGGATGATGCACGCAATGTGGGCTGAGTCTGTGTGGTGTATCGACCTAGCGAAAAATGATACCAGAACGAAAGAACGAAAGTCGATGTGCCGTGTGTTCGTCCAAAAAATGGGGTACGGAACGCCACGCGAGGGAAGAGCCTGAGGCGTGTGTGCATTTTCCCTTCTTCTCATCGCTTTCGCTTTGACTCGCTGTGTGACTACTCCCACTTCCCCCAAGCTGGCGAAAGTAAGGCTCGGCTCCTGGCATCGCATGCCAAAAGACAAAATGATATTATCGTTTCATCAGTTTGTCTCCTCCGCCCGGTAATTTCTTTGTGCTACCCGTGACAGGGCAGTTCCACCGCCGCCTTCACTACATCGCTACCGATTGGATGCGGCTTATCCTGTCCTCCTGGGCCTCTTCATCACGGTACCGGTAGTCTCGCCGTGAAGGTGAGAGGCGATGGTACACGTTTGATGGCAAAAAAATAAAAGTAAAGGAAAATACCAGCAATGCAGGGCAAGAGGCGGGGGATGCAGTGCAGGCCGACGGGCTTGGGTTTCACCAGCTTGGGGGAGGTAGCTGTGGTGGCACAGCGCCAAAAAAGCGAAATACGTGAGAAGAAGAGGAGAAGCGCATTGTGACAGACATGTTCGGTGACCCACAACCTGGGAATGCAGTGAATTCTTGCGACAGCTGCTGACCCAAGCAACCCGAAACTTCCTCTCAACGATGTTTGGCCCACCGACGGTAGGTAGGAGATCCATGATGTACTACACTGAAGGGTGTGAGGTGCTTCGTCTCGATTTCCCGTTGACCCCGTGAAAAATCCTGTGTTGCGATGGATTCACGACGGCGCACGTATGCCTGCTCATGCCCCCAAAAATATCCTGTTGGTGATAATTGGTGCGGCCAAATTCCGTTGGCAGTGAGGAGTACAGGGCTGCGTGTGACCACGTTTGGCTAGCATTGGGTATTCCAACGCCGCCAAACGCCACTCGTATCTTCGTAACTTTCCGCAGTTACGTAGATGAAGACCAGCACGGACAACGAAGGTTCGGGGGCCAAGCAACAAGACGGCAATAGCGGGCTTATCAGGCAAGGGCAAAACATGAGCAGGCTACATCGACAAATATCAGAGAAATATGGAACACAGTGTGGTACATGGCATGCAGTAATGTAGTGCAGCAGTAGGATTGGTTCTCCACAACTATCGAGTCGCGAGAGTCGTTGAGAACCTCTCGGACAGATTGAAGAATGGCGTGTACGAGGTGAGCAGCAGTAGGGTTGGTTCTCCCTCTACTGTCGAGTCGCGAGTGTTGTTGAAAAACCTCTCGGACAACACAGTAGTAGGATTGGTTCTCGTCCATCATTGTCGAGTCACGAGTGTCGTTGAAAAACCTCTCGGGCAGAATGCAGTATGGATTGCAGAAATATCGATTCTGTCATGGGACATCAACACATATCCTGCTATCACTTGCGGGGAGTGGGAGTTCCTTCTCGGGTGGACGTAGCCCCGCTAAAGTGTACTTTTCCAACAGTCGACAATGTAGAAGTTTTGTTTTGGAATGTTGCGAGCAAAACGTAGGATCAGAATTCTTGGCTTCCCCCTACCAGCCTACCCATACATGACTATCTGCGTTCCCTCTGAGATGCGAGGTTGAAGCACACATGGCTCAGACCTTTCTCTCCCCGACAGAAGGCTAAATCCAGCTTCTACACAAGGGTGGATCAAGGGCGAGAAAACTACCCGTACCAAACCGAGTGATTTTTCTATAGTAGTTGGCATCGTCAGCGGCCCCCCCCTGCAACGTTGCTAGTACTCTTTGGTGTTCAGTACGGCAGCATGCGTTCACCCCGCCGCAAGCAAAAGAGCGCCGATAGAGAGGGACGTGGATGTCGGGGTCGACGCGTAACGACTGATTGGCATCCTACGCCAGTGCATAGGGAAACATACTCGACCCCGTAGGGTGGAACGTCAGGTGTTACCGATCGTCTCTCTCTCGAACTGTCGTCTTTCGCTTGGAGACGAGCGCTCGATGTACGTGCGGTATCAATAACGATGTCCGATGTCTCCGTTGCTTGAACAAAGCACGGCGATCAAGAGCATCATGGTTTTCACCGCCGAGCGCTTCAATATTAAAAGAATGGTTCACATTTGCTCCTGATCTCCTTCCCAAATTTACGGAGTGCACCAATGTGTTTGGGCTTAGGTGAACAACTTTTGCCCCAGCATACGTGACCAATTCCTCCCGTTCAAACTGGGCGGAGCGAGGTCAGAATTATAATCACGTGGGATTTCGAACGCTGGTGACTTTCACGTCTATGGGCCACGGGTTATCCCAAAGCCATTTGTTGCATGTCTTCGAAAACAATTGTCATGAAGGCTGTTCACGGGCACTCATCGCTTAAGTTAACGCACGAAGTACCGTAGTCTTTGTATTCTCGATCATGTTTTGACCCTTTCCTTCTCTCTCCTTTCCCCCCTGTGTACCCTGATGTCTCTGTCCGTGTGTCTCTCTCATATATTGCTGTTTTTCATCCACCTGGGCGATGCTCATGTGTCGATTTAGACGTGGCGACGCACGAAACAAAGCACGATGGTGGTGCCCATCAGGCACAAAGTGTTCTGCGTCAAACCTGGAGCTCCACCGCCACCCGTTCGGCAACGACCTCAAGAAGTGCCATGACTTCGTTCTCGAAACAGGCATCCAATTGTGCCTAGTGCACGTGAGGTGAGTCAGTTCAAACATTTCGTGGTTGACCCGAGCTCCACATCTTAAGTGATGTCTAACATTTCAACAATGCGGGTGCGCATTGTGGTTGTGATTCCGCTATGCGGAACACTACGAAACATGCATTTCCTGCTTGGTATATGTTGTCGAGCTTGAGCTGGAGTGAGGTTACATCAACCACCTGTGTGCCGGTTGACTCATGGGGGCACCCTTGTCGGGCATTGGGGCGGCGGCATGCCAATTACCGCTTGTGCTAGTTCTTTCTGTGGCCACGCACCTGTTTCGAGGCAAAACAAAATTCTTACTTCCAAAAGTGATAACCCCAATGCTTTGGCGCCCCAAAAATACTGGTAGTCTATCTATTGTAGTGCTTCTTTCGCGTATCCCTCTTTGGTTACGGCGTTTTAGCCTATCACCTTGTTCCGAATACAGCCATAGTTTACTTGCCTCAGTCTCATTCCCCACATTCAATCTGGTGATGGTGTGGAGGCGGTTGACGTGTCTGCGTTCGCGCTCACGGCGCGTGTCTCTTTTGTGTGTGGTCGCGCGCGCGCGTGTGTGTGTGCGAATGGTGTGTGCACGTACGTACGTGTGCACGACAGCTGACGGCGTCCTTAACAAGTTGAAGAAGTACCGTAGATACATGCGCTACGGTTCTTCTTTCGGTTCTCATCAATTCATTTTACTTCCTCCTTTGGATGATGTACCAGATCTTACTGACTTGTTTATTATTCCCAGCCAACTACTCTCGCCAGAATGTGTGCAAGTATTTTTTTGCAGACTAGTACTCGTTCGGAATCGTGTGCAGCTATTTGTTGCTACGTAAACAAATACTTGTTCAGAATCGTGTGCAGATAGTTGTTTCCAGATACATAAATAACGGGTATTTGCGGCCGCGCACAAACATCATTTGTATATGTTCAAGGGTGTGGTATGTACGGACGAAAGGTCCGCTACCTCCCGTTCCCTGAGGGCCTTGGGAGCAGCCAACATCAGTCATCTCTCGTTTTAAAGGGTTCTGGCTGTATCTGGTGCGCTACTGAGCGTCCAGCAACCATCGTTCAGCGTCGGCGATGTTCATGTGACCATTCGCTTTTGCCTTCTTCAAGAACGTATTGGTCTCTTGAAAACTGTTGGAATATCTTGCCTCTTCTCCAGCACATGTCGACCAGTTCGGAAGTTCTCTCGGTCGCTTCATTCACCACACATGCACATCCGCCATCAGTTTTGTTCTCAGAACACGCGTCACCGAACCTCGCTATCCCCTATCCCCTTTGTGTGTTGTGCATGGCATCAACCGTGCCAAACGACTGACCGACTGACTGATTGACCGTCCGCAATATTTACGGGATGTATCACAAGGAGATGTCTGACAACGTTGTTGACGTACACAACCGATCGTGCTTGTATGTGCGTCGTCAAGTCAGGCGACCGGAGGGTTTCCAAAGTTGCCGATAGTCGGGAGGCGGGGTGCACGCTGAACAGTTGTCCCATTGCCACGATCTTTTTGATACATCTTTCCCCGGGTGACAGATCTACATTAGTGCTTGTTCGAAACGTGAACAAAAAACAGGGAACGTCTGGAGCGTCTGGTGTATGCACAACAAAATGCCTGATATACATCGTCATATGCAGTAGACATTGTGTGACTAGACAACACCCGAACCTGCCCGCCGCTGTTCCAACTGTATTCTGTTGACATTGTTAGCCGAGAGGAAGCCGACAATGAGACTCGCAGGGCTCTCAACGCAAGGGCAAAAGAACCCCCCCCCCCGGCAGCGATGGCGCGAGGTGGAGTAGGAGCTGGAGCGTCAAAAGTGGCAGCAGCTTCAACAGGAACAACGGCAGCATCAACAGACGTAGCCGCCACGGCTCACCGGGGGGAGAGTGTTGGAAACGTGGCCGCCACGACTGGACGTCTTGGTGCTGAAGCAGGCGAGGGGGCGGCGAAGGACGACAGCGACGAAGACAGTGACGGCCGCGGTAAGGACTGCATCGATGGAGCACGAGACGGTACGGTGGGGCCCGGGCAAGACGGCAAGCTCGGCTCAGCCGCATCCCCTGCAGGCAACACCCGGGACGAACGGTGCGCGTGCACGCCGGGCATGCAGGGGGGTTCCAAAGTAGCGGTAGTCGAACAATTGGCCAAATCTCCCCATACTTGGGAACACCGTACCGACGGTGACACGTGTAATGCTTGTGTGGAGTATGCAAGTACTCTCGGGGGGCATCTGGTGTATATCTCAGACTATATACCGACCGTTACGTTTGCCGAAACGTTGTGAGCAAGTCTGATCCACTCACAGGTCCATGCACATCTACTGGCATGAGTATTGCACATCCATCCATCTGGCCAGGCGCGTGATTGTCTTGCACTCTACCAAAACACACATAGAGAGTTAAGAAGCATATTAAACACTGAACGGGTACCCAAACGCGCGACCTCTATCAACCGCATGCTACACCCCCGGCACTCTATCGGCCAGATCGTTCGCGAGCAAGACCGTCGGGGTGAAGTGCTCGCATTCGACGTCGAAGCCGGCGGCAAGCCACCCGGGCGAGGCGGCGGGGCCTTCCGTCACGGCGGCAAGGCGTGCCAAGATAGGCGGCAAGCTCATCTCCGGTGCAACCCCTGCGAGCCGCACCAGTGATGGCGAAAAGTGCGTGCGTGTGCATGGTCACGTCAGGCATCCAGAGGGTTTCCAAAAGTAGCGGTGGACGGGGGAGGGTGCACGCCGAACATTTGTCCAAATGTCACGATCGCTTCGATACATCATGCCTAGTGTGACAGATCTAATGCTTGTGCGGAATATGCAAGTATTATCGGGGGGCATCTAGTGTACAACGAACGGTTTATCGTAGACAACATTGCGACCGCTGCGTTTGCGACAACGTTGTGAGCAAGTTTTGATCCACTCAAAGGTCCATGCACATCTACTGGTTCGAGTGTTGCACGTCCATCTGGCTGGGGCGCGTGATTGTCTTGTACTCTACCGAAACGCTGAAGAGAGTTGAGAAGCACATTGAGCGGGTACCCAAACGCGGGACCTCTACCAAATACATGCTACACCCCCCGCTCTCCGTTGACCAGGTCGTCCGCGCGTAAGACCGTCGGGGTGAAGCGCTCGCATGTATCGAAGCCGGCGGCAAGCCAGCCGGGCGAGGCGACGCGGCCTACCCTTACGGCAGCAAGGCGTGCCAAGATAGGTGGCAAGCTCATCTCCGGCGCAACCCCTGCGAGCCGCACCAGTGATGGCAAAAAGTGCGTGCGTGTGCATGGTCACATCAGGCATCCAGAGGGTTTCCAAAGTAGCGGTAGTCGGGGGAGCGTGCACGCCGAACATTTGTCCAAATGTCACGATCGCTTCGATACATCGTGCCCAGTGTAACACATCTATCTAGTGCCTATGCGGAATATGCAAGTATTCTCGGGAGGCATCTGGTGTACAACGAACGGTTTATCGTAGACAATTTGGCAACCGCTACGTTTGCGACAACGTTGTGAGCAAGTTTTGATCCACTCAAAGGTCCATGCACATCTACTGGTTCGAGTGTTGCACGTCCATCTGGCTGGGGCGCGTGATTGTCTTGTACTCTACCAAACCACGTAGAAGAGAGTTGAGAAGCTCATTGAGCGGGTACCCAAACGCGCGACCTCTACCATACATTCGCTACACCCCCCCGCCCTCCATTGACCAGGTCATCCGCGCGCAAGACCGTCGGGGTGAAGCGCTCGCATGTATCGAAGCCGGCAGCAAGCCAGCCGGGCGAGGCGGCGCGGCCTACCGTCGTGGCCGCGAAGCCCGAGCAAGAGGACAAGGTCGGCGACGCTCCACCCCGTGTGGGTGGCACAAGCAGGCTCAAGCCGGCGTCGGTGGCGCGCCGTAACACCGGTACTGTCGTCGCCAAGGTTCGTAGCCCCAAGTCGCCACTTCGGGTAAGGGGGAGGGGGTAGCCCGTCTTCCTATGCAGACACGGTAGTGTGTAAAATATTGAGTGGTTTTTCGAAGTTGTTGTTGGTGTTACTGCTTAGGTAAACTTTCCTGGGCTGTTCCCATTGACCGACTTCGTTTCCGTGTTGCGATGTGTATGCCCTGTCAGTTGATTTTGACACATCGGGTAAGCGCTGACCGTACTGTTGGATGGCTCGATCAATTCGGCTGTAAACGTGTCGCATACACCTCGAATCAACACGATGGGGCGCAAGGTTCAGGGACTTTGCCACCGCGGCAATTTGTGCACCGTACAGTGGAAGTCTTGAAGGAAGAACGAGTTCAAAACGGGTATTCTCCCAGCATACTTCTGGCCCCTCGCCAGTCTATCCACCATTTTGGCTCTTCCCATCAAACGCACCTGTTTTTGCCAGGTGACCAAATCAAGTTCCTCGACGAGAACAAAGGGCAATGACATCAAGATCTCGTCGGCAATGTCAAGATCCTCTGCGGATCGAAAGGGTGAGGACCTGAAGACCTCTCCCGCCATGCGACGGGCGCGTCGACCTACCGCCGAGGATGGTCCAAGCCATAGTAGCGGCAGGCAAGTGACGAGGCACCAGGAGTCCCACCGGGTTGGTTTCATTGTTGACTGTGTTTGCGGGAAATGCACCTTACGTAGTGGGTGTGAGCAACGACACATGAATACCGAATGGCCGCTACTGTTTTCAGCCATTGTGGTAAGTAGACCTGATCCACTCGCCACCTCGTTGCCGCAAAGGCCCATGCAGACCTACTGGCACGGATGCTGCACGTAAAGTTGGCTGGGGTTTACCGCGTGATTGTCTTGTGCTCCACTAAAACACCCGGAGAGTTGAGAAGCATATCAAACGTGTACCCAAACGAGCGACCTTTACCAAACGTATTCTACACCCCCCGCCCTCTATCGGCCAGGCCATCCTCGCGCAAGACCGTCGGGGTGAAACGCTCGCATTCGACGGTGTCGAAGCCGGCGGCAAGCCAGCCGGGCGAGGCGGCGGGGCCTCCCGTCACGGCGGCAAGGGGTGCCAAGAAAGGCGGCAAGCTCGTCTCCGCGGCGACCACTGCAAAGAGAGTCGCCGAGGACTGCCCATCGGTAAGTGGGGAGAGAAAAGAAGGGGCGATGGGGCGAAAGCACAGTAAGGATCAGGCGCAGAGAGGGGGGAGAGGGGTAGTAACCTCTCCTGCTACTCGGGCGTTGTCTTGAGAAGGGCACGCTTTGGAAGTGCTCTCTGCGTTATGTCTGAGGTAGACATTTGCTGCTTGTTTCCATGGCCGGGGATGTCGGTTGATGGTGCTCCGATATATGTTCCCGGTCAGTTGATATTGAAATATTGCGTACGCATGGCTTGCGCTGACTGTACGCTTGGATGGTTCGATCAAACTAGCTGTAGGACGTGCCTCATGCACCTCGAAGCAACAAGCTAGGGCGCCAGGTTCAGGGACCCCGCCAACGCGGAAATTTGTGCGCCGCACAGTAGTCAGCGGAATGGTGGAGGGAAGAACAAGAATCAACACGGATATTCTCCCAGCACGCCTCCGGCGCCTTACAGCCTGTCCACCCTTTTGTCCCTTCCCTTGCCATGCATGGTGGTCGAGTAGATCATGTTGTGCGGGGTCGAGAGCCCTCACTCCGCGCAAGGGGGATGATCGCACCACGTTGTGTTAAATTGGTCAAGCATCCTCGAGATAGTTACACAGCAGGGCTTATAACTGTTTCTGGAAGTGAAAGCACCAGAAAATAAATTAAGTCATACGCAGATGTCATCCGTGCGCAAGGAAGTAAGCACAAGATACTGAACACCCTTAGCAGGATGCAGCGCACCTTTCATACGACTCGCCGAATACCTCACGGCTCTTCGCGCTTGGTGATGTGAGAGCCTGGTCCGGTGAGAACCCGGCGTGCTCCACCCCGGCTTTGTAGGAATGCGAGGTCAATGGTCTAACGACTACGGCATGCGCGACTATGAGTACACCCCCCCCCCCCCCCCCCTTGCCATGCACTTGATTCGAATCAGGAATTAACCGCCAAGGCACGCAAGGACTTGCTCCCCCCGTCGGCCTCGGTGCCTCGTCCAAGTGGTGCAAGCACGGCGCCGACGAAGGCGCCGGCGAGGGCGATCCGGAGCTACCCGCCCGCAAAGCTCTCGCCGGTGCAGTGGGAACGCACAGCCCAAGCACCGAGGCCGATTATCGGCAGGTAAGAGACGAGGCGCCGGGAGCCTTTCGATCGTGGTGGATAGTGAAACAAGAACCGTGTGGACTAGATGTGACAAAGATGCGAGACTTCACCGAGGGAACCACTACGTGTTGAGCTACTGCTGCTGGGAGCAGGTCTGGTCCACTCGCCTCTTCGTTGACGCAGATGTTCATCCAGATCTACATGTACTGGTGCGAATGTTGCATGGCCATTTGACTAGGTGTTTGCCGCGTGACTTGGATTTCACTTGAGGGAACGAACAGCAAGGAAGGGTAGAAGCGTAGTGGCTGGCACCCATACTCCCATTGTCCCGACCAACGTACGCTCTCCGCTCAGGTCATACGGATCGGCGTTCGTGCCGTGGCGTCCGCGGGCGAGAGAGGCGGATTTCCAACCTCAGGTAAGGAGGGTAAGGGAAGAAAGGATACGGGAGGAAAACTAAGGCCGGCCACGGACTAGGCGTACGTGCGTGTGGGACAGGGAGGGGAGTAGCGACGTGTCTTCTTATCCAGACGTTGGCATGTGAAACAGGCCATCATGAGTGTTGGCGGTGGTGCTGTAACTCAGTTGAATATTGCTTGGTTGGTCCCTTACTGGCGAAGATGTTGGTTGATGGTGTTCCGATATGTATGCCCGGTCAGTTGGTTTTGACATATCGCGTGCGCAAGTCCTACGCTGACTGTACGCTTGGATGGCTCATTCAAAAGGGTTGCGACACGTCCCGCATGTGCCCTCCGCGACCAGCGAATGAAAACGCTAGGGAACTGGGTTCAGCGACCCGGGCACTGCCGAAAACTGCATGCCGACAGTCGACCGCTTGACGAAAAAACTCCTAGTCCAAAACGGATTCTCTCCTAGCATGCCGACGACCCCTCACTGTTCGTCCACCCTTTGACCCTGCCCACGAAATCGCCGCCTATGTTCGACAGCTGGTTCGGACAGGCACAAGCCAACCGACTCCGACAGTGACACGCTCAAGTCAAGATGCGCTTCCTCCGAAGAGGAAGTACGTCTCAAACGAGATCAGGCCCGAAACGTTCAGGGTGGGCCGCGATGTCCAGCCCACAATGCGGTCGCGGTGGGCGTACAACAGCATGCCAGGACGCAGTCCGAGTAGGCATAGCAGCAGGCAAGAGACGAGGCACCGGGTATCACTTGATTGGTTGGTTGTTGGTGAACACAGACTTTCATGTTCAGCGGATAGAGCATTGTTGTATGTGGTAGGTGTGAGCAAAGACCACGCGTGAGTACCGAGTGGTTGCTACTGTTTGCGCTACCGCTGTTGTGAGCAGGTGTGGTCCACTCGCCACTTCGTCGCCGCAAAGCTATCGACTGGTGTACGAGGGTTGCACGACCAATACTCTGGCTAGCGTTTGCCACGTGACTGATTGAGTTTGACTTTTGGAATCAAACGGAAGTGTGGAAGGGTATTGACTTGTGCCCATGCTGGCGTTTTCTCTGCCAACGCACGCTCTCTTGGCCAGGCTACGCTTTGGTGGTGAACGCTCGCGTCAGCGGGTGTTAGAGCCGGCAGCAAGCCAGGGGGGTGCTTCGGCAAACCCATGGTTGCAACGGCGTCCCGTTGTGGCGGCCGAAGAGCAGGACGACAGGTTCTCCTCCGCCATTTCCTTGCGGAGCGTTACCGGCAGCTGCAGGCTGCTACCGGTGGCCCGACGAGCCATCAACAGCAGCATCACCCGCAGCTGCAGGCTGGCCCAACGCGCCATCAACAGCAGCATCACCCACAGCTACCGGCTCCTACCGGTGGCAAGACGGCTCGTTGCCGGGAGCGTCACCAGCAGTCGGGTGAGGCTGACACCGATGGCACGTCGTGCTACCAGCATGGCGAACGAGGTAAGCAGCCCAAGGTCTTTGCACCCGGTACGAGGGCAAAAGAAAAGTTGATGCCGGTAGTAAGGGGAAGCCGTAAGGAAACCGAGGACTACTGTAGGTGCGCGTGTTGCGTGAGGGAGGTGGGAATGGGGGGGGAGGTCTTCTTCCTGTACGTTTTATTCGGAGATAGAGATATCACCGACGAGAATGTTGGTGGTGTAGTCTGTGCTTAGATAACACCTTCCATTGATTGTGTCCATGCCCGATGGCATTGGTTTACGGTGTTCCGATGTGTGCCCTGCGAGTTCATGTGAACACATTGTACGCAAGTCTTGCGCTGACTGTACGCTTGGACGGTCGTATGGAATTGGATACAATGGCATCGCGGAATGCACCCTCCGCGACGATCGCAGCAAAGGAGGCCGGGGGCCTGATTGCAGGACCCCGCCGCCGGTTCATTCAATTTGTTCGCGGAATGGTGGAACGCATGACGGATGAATGAATAAGCTCCAAACGAACGCTTCAATGCCTCCGGCTCCTCACCGCTGTTTTACCGTTTGATTCTTCCCACGAATCGTCTGAACCTCCGCCTGTCGCTTTCATCAGCTGGTTCGTGCAGCCGGACGCTCCGTTCGCAATGCAATGGCGCCCACTCCACGGGATCAAGAACCAGCAAAGTCCTTTTTCAATAGGACGCTCTCGGTGCCTCACCCAAGTAATGCGTCCGCGGCGGCGGGGGCGCGCCGGGATGTCGCACCCGCAACTGCTTCTGCTGATGCTGCTTCCGCCGCTGCTGTCGCGCAGTCTTCCCCCGTGGCTTCGCCGGGACTGGGAAGACCGCAAACAAATAGGAGGGTCGACAACGGTGGCCGGCTGCGTGGGGGCGACCGTGCTGAGGTACGACGAAAGTATTTCTATGTATCCTTCCGCCGATGTCATTTTTCAACAATCGTGAGTTGCGGTTGTGTGCATGAAAGACTAGTTGATACGCAACGCTGGTGGTAGCACCTTGCACGGCATGGCTTTTCCCGAAGCAAACAAGACGATCGGTTGTGGTTTTGTCCCCTGCGAAAGAATCGCCCGTGTGCATATTTCCAGAGAAACTAAAGTAGCCAACAACACGCCGGCACCTTGCGTGTCTAGTTTCTTCACACATCAGTATCTTCTACCTATGACCATGGAGTTGGCAACAACAACAACAACAACAACAACAACAACGGATGTATCTAACTTGTGCGACTTGTTTTGCGCACACCATATGGCCCTCCCGATATTTCCCGCCACTTGTTCCCACCCAAAGGGTCGGCCCTGCGTAGCCCACCGGTCGATTCTCCACTACGAGGATGAACTATTGCAAATTTGCGACATGTGTGGGAGGTGCAGGACTCGTTTACGGCACCACTCTGGCTCATATCAGTGTCATGCCTGCCCGGCGGATCTGTGCGGCCTGTGCGGGCAGCCCGGAACCCGGCATTATCTTCACGCCGACCGCATGTGAGTTGGAGGATGATTTCTGTGGAAGCATCTGTTGAGTTCAAACGAATTGTGTCTGTTGTTGCGTTACGGTTGTCGGCGTGTTTATTGTGTCTTTTCTCTACGAAACATCTCGTTCTGAATGTGTACCCGGTACTTTCGTGTGCGGCGATGATCCCTGACCCCACGAGGGGTGCGATGTCCGTGGTCACAGGCTTGCAAACAACAATGAAGTACACACCGAACTCAAACTCAGCACACATATGTTCGAATCGTTTGGCGAAGTTGTAACATCAATGACGGAAAAATGGCGCCCATTGCACTTTCGCTGGGGTATGGCGGGTTTGGAATACTCGTCTTGAAACTATCAGAAACTGTGAATTGCGAAAGATGCAGAACAAGTCGCACAACGTTTCGCTCAAATGATGGTTGTCTGGCTGGATATATGACCTTGTCGGGCCTCCCATCTTGGTTTCTCCTAAGCCCTAATGGCACGATGTCGCAGGGATTGAATCACTCCGTTGGGTCGCAACTATTTCGTACCTTCGGGTTCATTAAACGAAGGGCTACGTGACGTAACGCTTGTAAGCTTCCAAGCATCTCGGTAACCCCTGCTGTGTCATGTTTCCAAAGCCTTCGGTTGAAACCCTGTATTGTTGGTCTACTGCGAGTAATTGATCGTGCACATTACGTCGTCGATGCCGCCCGCAACGCGACCTTTTCGCTCGCCAGACGCCCAGGGCACCCCTTCTACATCCCTCCCAGGAGTTTATGGGTTCGAAAAACGTCACCCACTGCGGCCCCCAGCACTCTTCCTGCCGTTGCGCCTCCAACCGCTCCTACTGGGCGTGCCGTCGGCTTCGGTAGTGCGTCGGTGGCGGCGCCTCCTTCTGGGCCATTGGTTCGAAGATCGCCACCCGCTGCGGTTCCCAGCACTCCGCCTGCCGTTGGGCCCCCAACCGCTCCTACTGGGCGTGTCGTCCGCTTCGGTAGTGCGTCGGTGGCGGCACCCCCTTCCCCCGACCCGTCACCAATGGACGTCGATGACCTCACTCCCGCTGCCACTCCCGCCCATGCCACGGGGTTCATCTTCGGCGGCATATCCGCCATCGGAACGGGTGTAGCGACAGTTTCGATGGCGCCGACACCAATGGTTGTGGCCAGCCCCACTTCAGCCGCCGCACGCCGACCTCCTTCATCGTTCATCTTTACGGGCAACCAACCCGGTGCTCACTTCACGTTCGTCGGCGGCGCGGCTTCGGCGACAAGGGCGGCGGCGACGACAACGACGTCGATGACGGCCGTTCTCCCGACCCGCGTTTCCGCCATCAACGCCCCTCCGCTCTCCGCCGGTGCTTCGGCTAGCGTAGCCACAGTTTCGACGGCGCCGACACCAAGGGTTGTGGCCAGCCCCTCTTTCGTCGCTCCACAACCACGTCCTGCATCATCCACCTTCACCGGCAACGGTGCTCAATTCACGTTTGGCGGCGGCGCGGCTTCAGCGACAAAGGCGGCGGCGACGACAACGACGACGACGACGGGCCCCTTTCCCGGCCCCACCCTGACGGCTGGTAGGGTTGCCCCCCACGGACCCGGGGGTTGTTCGGCATCGTCGGCAGTGCCCGTGCCCAGCTTCATCTTCGGCACCGGCGGTGTAAACGGCGGAATCGGTGCCGTCACCGCTCCTCCGGCTCCCGCCGGCGCTTCCGCTTTCGTGGCGCCGGCGTCGCTGGCTGGAGGGGTTGGCTCTGCCCAAGGCACGGGTGCTGTGCCACTTCCTCCGGTAGGACTTACCACTACACAAGGTGGATTTTCGGGCAGTGTGGCTCGGAGAGCCAGTTCCAGCGGGATGAAACGCCGCCGGCGATGATGCAGCGCGCAGACATGATGGGCATGATAATCTTTTTCACTCCCTGGCTACATAGTGTTGCCCGAGACGAAAATACTATCAATTTCACCTCGGTAATTCACGAATGTTGTCCTTATCATTAATTGATGTTAATATGAAATTCTCATCAGTCGAAAAGGCGTGGACTATTCCCTTTGAGTGTGTTTGTTGTCCCGGCTCACAGTTGAAGTTGGGTTTTGAGGCTGTCGTGGTGTGCGCTTGGGCTCTGCATGCATGGCCGTACGTAGTGCGGGTGAATGAGAGCTGTTGTTGATGTTGATGTTGATCGTTATCTTGGGCTTGGAGTGCTCGGAGTGTGGTTGGATATGCTTTAGGATAGTAGGGCCAGGTACACAGATATATCACGGGCTAGGAACAACACTCGTACCCCTCTTGTCTTTGCTTCCATGCTTGTTTCAGCGGGCGGGGTGCCTGGCGTGCTTAACCACCCACCTGTGCCGTCGAGGGCTTTGCTCCTCGCAGGACGTTTGTATTCCGCGAACGAGGCTCTATGACAGCATGCCACACGGGCGCAAGGACAGTATTCCATTTCGAGCTTAGTTAGGGTTTCGCGAGAAGTGGGCGTTGGGATAGAAAGAGGCGAACGATGTGGCTGCGACTCAACGTTGCCTGTACGCGTGGGTTTGGAAGCTGGGGAAACAATACATAGGCACAATGAGGAACGTGGGTAGCCCATAAGTGGTGAGATTACCCGGACCAGAGTAGAGTGAAGAGTAAGAGCAGAGTAGAGTGAAGAGTAAAAAGGGCTCACGTGCATTGGAATCCGCCGATATGCAGGGCATGCGTGCTCGTCCTTCGAAGATCGCATTTGCCAATGACGGCACAACAAGCTGTCAGGTGGCCGGCCGTTGTTGATACTTTTCTCTTTAAAAAGTTGTCCAGTCAGTCTTGGTCCAGAAGGACCGAATGCTATGCCTGAATGACGAGTTCTCGACTAACCCTGTAGGTATAGTTGAGGGCTGCGTGTCAACTGGCTACCTCGCCGAGGGACCCACACAAAGTTTCCCATCTCCGAGTGGGGCATCTAGCTGAAGACTACTTTCCATTTCCGAAATGAAGCGCCCCCCCCCCCCCCCCCGAGCCAAGTTGAATATCCCTGACATGTTTGAATGGAAAATCACCACATCACAACTGGAAGCACATACGTTATCCCACCCTTACTTGTGGCTGATTTGATTCAATAACCCGAAAACTGATACAGGAACGACAGCTTGCGCCCGCATTATTCTTCTTGGCTGTCTTCCGCTCCAGTAATGGGGTGGACACCCCCGTAGCGTCCCTAAATAGTTTCTCTCTATAGTCTAATACACAACGCTGCAGTACGCGATACTATGCTGTACGATGCGTACGATGTGCTCTCTGTTCGAGGACTCCGTGCTGAGTCATGCACCACAACCACAACACCGACATTGTCAGCATCCTGAGAAGCACTCCTGTAGTCTTCAAC